AGCATCATGTATGCAAACTAGATATCATGATTCATTGCAGTTGAAAATAGAAAATGCTTGACAAGAGCTCCTTTATGTTCTTGATGTTACTTGATGACACCTTAATTACATGTGTGAAGGGAAACCATTCCTCTGTCAAAATATATTATATGTATATGTTGGATGCATGAGAAAGATGCTCAACAATAGCTCACTTATGTTGGATGTATGTTAGCTTTGTTTTCTATCATCCAGCTACCAGCTGGTAAACCTTGTATATTAGATTTTATTAACTAGTGGGTTGTTGGTTTTCTCATTTTGTCACAAAAACTGCATCCAAGTGCATTATGGCTCCTGCACAAGTTGATCTTTTAAGGGTCATTGTCTTCTGGAGAAGATAGTTCATTTCTGGATATGGACCAAGAGTATATTAGTGATCTTGGATGATATCTAAGCAGTTCCACCACATCATGGTATTCCAGACATTGATTTTTTACTCTTACCTAATTGAATGGGTAAACTTCAGATTTTGCTAATTTTTGACCAGGCAATTTCTGGAACAGATACAGGAATGGTTCTTTGTTCCTTTTTTTTATTTCGGGCAAATTGAGTATGTTTTTAGCTAATGTTTGATACTATATCATTCACAGAATGTAGTAAATTTTTTTTCTTTTTACTTTGTATTTGAGCATGTATCAAATAAAATTGTCTGATGGAAGCATCATTTTGGTTTCTCTTTTGTTATTTGAAGTCCTTTTTGTTAATTGATTGAGTCATATCTGTTGCTATATCTTCTCAAATTTTGAGGTAATTCTTTAATGAAATGTCTAATAATGGCCGCAGGTACACTCTTCAGTGTTCTGAGTTCTCTGTTGCCCAGTATAATGGGGTGCCAGGAAGCTCTGATTTACAGTAAGGCCTTAATTAAAAAAAGAGAGAATTTCTTTTTAAAAAGAGTCACAAGAGAAAAAGGGATGATCAAAAGAGCATGAGAGAACAAAATCCCAGGGACAATGGGAAACTTAAAAAAAAAAAGGACACAGTGTGGAAGAAAGATAAAAGAAAAAAAAGGGAGAGAGAAGAATGAATAATTTATGCAGTTCCTGTAGTTGTTTAACAGAAAAAGGAGGTGGGTCGTATAGTATTGGGCCTGAAGAAATCTCAAAGAAAATTGAATGACTTGATGGTTTGAAGTTAGGCAATAGGATAGGTGACATGAAGTCCATTGTGCTTTGGCATAATGTAACTCCATTTGGGCACATGCAACTAGTGATGCTGGAGGCTGCCTATACTTGGTGTTGGAGTTGGAGAGCTTTGGATTATAATGTTGCTTAGCATTCTATGGTGAGAGGTCCTTGATCTCTTGCTTGTGGCCTTACCTTTTACTACTTCTGTCTGTGTTGTGAGCATTGGTTTGTACTGTTGCACAGAATTCTGCAGTGAGAGGTCCTTGATATCTTGCTTGTGGCCTTCTCACTTTCCGCTTCTGTCCATTTTCTTGTCAGCTCATGTTTTTTGTTTAGTAGCACAGTCAATTTGCTGTTTAAAGTATAGTTCGCTATGTCATGAACACTTTTAAACACAAGTTCATCGCTAAAGAGTCCTAGATGGATCCCTTTCTTAATTCTAAGTGGTCAAGGACTAGGAAATTAGTTCCTTTTTGAGCAGCCAAATAGTTTTGTGGCTGGTTTGGTTGGATGTAAGTGTTTGAAGTCAACAAGTTACATTTTGAAAGTGAAACTTGCAAGAAATGGCTTTAAATATATTGAAAGAGACACGTAGTACAATCACCTCAAACATTTGTTCAGTTAAAAATAAACTAATGCAGTCAGCTAATATATTGTTTGTTGGTCGACAGTCTCGAATCAAATCAGCCATCAATGTCTAAACGGTATCATGATGTAGGCCAGTCATGACTGAATTATAACTCATGGCAGGTCAGCTGTCATATGATACACCAGTTGTCAAGTGATGATCGAGATTAACCGTCACCAACAAGGCTACTGCCGGGTTGATTGTGAGTTTATTGGTTGCTAATGGAGCTGGCTACCATAAAAATATTACACTGTGGAAGCTTTTAAGCTCTCCACGATCTGAAGTGATCAATGAGAAAAATTATATAATTTCGTTTTGACATTTTGAATCAAATTGACTTTGGTGAGGCTTTTGGACGAACCGAACTAGTCAAAGTTGACTGCTTGCACAAAGTGCCCCTTTCTGCTTTCCACTGTCAATTAACCAAAGACACTCTAAATTAGAGAACCTTGACAAGAATGCTATTAACAAAGGCAGATTTTCCATGTTGGAGTGCAATCATTTTTCTTAGTGCATGACCGAGTATGATTGTGATTAACATTTGACCAAAACGGTTCTAAACATCAGTTAATTAAGATCTTAGTGGTTGTGATGGAATTTCATAACTTAAAAAATGCTCATCTTGTTGAATGATAATCATGATATTATTGATTGGAAACACTCCGATGTATAATTGAAATTAATTTACTAGCAGTGGCATGAGTAAGCACAACCTCTGTTAGACTAATAACCTGTTATGTTATTAATTGCCTACTAATGCCGATAGCGGTTATGAAACTGCAGGTGGATTATGCTTGCACACCCGAAGAAGTGCAGCAGCATTTCCAGTCATGTGGAACAGTCAACAGGGTTACTATTCTGACAGACAAATTTGGTCAGCCAAAAGGTTTTGCTTATGTTGAATTTCTAGAAGTTGAGGCTGTTCAAGAGGCTCTCCAGTTGAATGAATCTGAACTACATGGGCGTCAAATCAAAGTTTGTTTAGTGTTAATGTTATGCTTTTAATTGCTACCTTCTGATTAGATATGATGATTTTTTGGGTTAATTCTAACGAAAGGGATGCTTCTTTGCAGGTAGCAGCTAAACGGACTAATGTCCCAGGAATGAAGCAGTTTCGTCCAAGGCGGTTCAGTCCATACATGGGAAACCCATATAGGAGGCCGTACATGCCTCCATACTTTGCTTCCCCTTACGGATATGGGTTAGTGCTCTGTTATCCTTCACTTTTCTTCAGGCGAAAGCTAATATGCTCATGCACACAAATGTTGGAACTCCTTGACTATCTTTGCAGGAAGTTTCCAAGATACAGAAGGCCGATGCGGTTTAGGCCTTTCTGAGCAGTGGAGAGTCGGTTGCAATTAGCTTTATGTTGTCTGTATCAAACATTATGGGACCAGTGCAAATGTCTGTTGCAGTTCCGTTATGATATTTTATAGGTGCGAATTCCTACCGGTAGACTTTAATAGCAAGCCAAGGCCATAGGAATAAATTTGCACTGTATTATTATTGCATACTTTTGCTGTTCTTGGCTGTGTCTTGCAACCGATTAATGTGTGTGGTAATCATTTTCTTTCTTATGATATAATTGCCTGCTGCATGACTCATTTTTGCTGGCCATTGTGGATGACAACATTCCAAGTGTTCCGACTGGCGGTCTTGGGTGAGATTGTTGTATTCGGGGTTTGAAGATGGTCCAGACCATGTTTGGGAATGTGTGAGCATCTGCTTTAATTTTTTTACAAAGTGTTCTTTACTAAAAAAAAACTGACGAAATCTTCTAGCTGACAGGTTGAAGATTGTTGCAGAACTCTTGTCGAGTAACTAGGTTCGGATTCCATGGTTTCACCTACCTTACAGTAAGTCATTTTTGAACTCTGATACCCGAATCTTTGTACTGTACCTTTAGAATAGTCGGTTGCAGATCGTTAATTTGTATCCTTGCGGTCGGTCTTTACTTTTTCTTTTTTTTTTCTCGACTTCAATATTCCAGATCGTTATTAGGATGTTGACATACGAGCTTCATTCCAGTTCCCGAAGTAATACGAAAACGAAGGGTAGTGCTGAATGACGACATTGCATGCGTAGTTGGACAACAATATTTTACTCAACAAGTCGTTTTGATGGGCCACCATTGTTTTCGTTGTTTCTCGGTATATTGTGTTCACCGACATATCAAGACGTACAAACTGTTCTTCGTAAAAGAAGCATTTGACATGAGATTTTAGTCTTATCTGCTGTATTGTGTTAAACTACATGTCAAGATTGTAATTTTATTTCCTCAGGTTTAGTGCAAGATAAAGAGGGTAATGATGCGACAAGAAATCGTGGAATTATATATAATTGCTGAGGGCGAGGGGATTGATGAACGTTTATGGTGAATAATATATATATATATATATATCTTCATGCATGGCTGGTATTATGAATAATAAAAATAATAATAAATAGGACCAACCATACCACCACCTGTCCAACTCTTTTTTCCAGACCAAATGCATCGCACCACGTTGCGTCTGCCTACTGACCGTGAGCAAGAAACCGGGCCCAAAAGTTCATGCTTTCTCCTCTTGACTTGAGATTCAAACTCGGAGCCTGATCTAACTTTTTAACAAAATTCAAAGTAATCCCAACCAACGTGCTTGCTTGCTGCCTCCTTTTCCTATTATCCTGTACGCATGCATACACGCACACATTTTGTGATCAGTCCCTTGGTAATCAATCAATCATGCGACGACGTCTTAGACCACAAGTATGCTTCTTCGTAACACCCAAAAAGTCGACATCTGATTGGCCATGACGCGCGTCGAACCAGTGGAGTCCTCACTATAAAGCCACGTCCAACCTCCTCGGTGCCATAACCCTGAGATCCAACGGACGTCACCATCTCACCAAGCGATACCAGCCACCGCCACGATCATTCTTCACTTAGCTTTCACGCGCCGCCCAGCCGTCGGATCGAGCGGCCCCCGGTAAACGAGTCTCGCCCGTGGCTTCCTCTCCAGGATACGGATCCGGTGAAATCCCCGGGTGCGACTACCCGCGCTTGCACCCAAAACGCCACCTTCTCCCTGGCGGGACCCACAGATTGTCTCAGTGAACGGGTTGAACCGACGGAACCGCCGGACCCGCTCACCCCCCCGAGTCACGATTCTTGAAGCAACACCTGAACTGCCCGCTCCCCTGTGTATCCGACGGTGCGGAGGTCACCCGCAGATAGCTTCTCTGCGGTAAAACTCGGGCGTTCCGATCCCCTCGACAGAAACTTCCTTCCGCAGTTAATAGTATTATTACACGGCAAAGAGAAGGAGCGAGAGAGAGAGAGAGACAGAGAGCGAGGTGAGACAAAGGGAGGTCGGAGATATTTTTCCATTCTGGGAAAGAGAAGCAAGGAGGAGGAGGAGGAGGAGGTGAAGTAGGGGGATGGAGGAGCGGGAGAGGCAAGTGTTCATGGCGAAGCTCGCAGAGCAGGCGGAGAGATACGGTGGTGTGCACCCCGGACCCTTGTCAAACCAGAGACAAACGTGATGTTTTTTTTCCTTTTTCTTTTTGAGATTTCCCCGTTGCTTTCTTGGATTTTGTTGAGTTGATTGATTCTGACTTCCGATTATTTTTCTTCTTCTATTTGCAAGAATGATTTGCAATCCTGAAGCTCTAATGGTTGTTCCGGGTGTTCTTGGTGAATCATGGCGCCTCCTTGTGTTCTGATCGTTTAAGCTTCTTCGATGTTTCTTCTTCTTCTCCTTGTTCTTCATGGTGTCAGGAATTTTAGTTGGGTTTTCTTGGATAAAAGTTTCGGCTCCATTTGTGGGATTTTGTGGTAAATAAATATAGGGATTTGTGTTCATGGTTTTACCGTTGTGTGTCATCACATCTGCAACAGAGGCTTATGTTTGTGCCGGAGTAAGTCGGTCCAATTTCTCTAATAAATGCTTCGCACATGGAGAAGAAGACCGATTGATTGATCTTTCCTTCCTTGTCTGTTAGCAATTGGTAGAATTGCATTGAATTAGTAAGTAGAGTTAGACTTTTCTTAATGCTTTATGAGAGAGACAAAAATGTTGTTTCAGTTCGGGGACCGTTCCTTTTGGAAGGATTATATGCGTTCATGTTGGTTTGATCTGCTTCCTTGGCTATTGAATATTTGGATTTCTTCCAGTCTAAACCTTTTTTCTTGAGGAAAATATCTGAAACCCCTTCTAAAAGACAAAAATGTTCAGTTATGTACTAGTTTTAATCACCCAAAGACAAACCCATTCCCCACTGCCAGCCTGAGATGTCGGGTGCCAATGTGTTAACCAGTGAATCCTTTGTGTTTGTTGGTCCTCTGATGGACTAGAGAAAATTATATGTAAAAAACTTAAATTCTTTATTCATTGCCGCTTGCCATCTTGACAAGATTACAAGTTCTCCTGTGTTGTTCGACTAGGTAATTTGTCTTATCGCTTCTATCTTAGAAATGGTGGAGTCCTTGAAGAAGATTGCCAGAATGGACATTGAGCTGACGCCGGAGGAGAGGAACTTATTGTCGGTTGGCTACAAGAATGTGATTGGTGAAAGAAGAGCATCATGGAGGATCCTCTGTTCGCTTGAACAGAAAGAAGAGGTGAAGGGGAGTGAGCAAAATGCGAGGAGGATAAGGGAGTATAAGAAGAAAGTTGAAAACGAACTGTCGAGGATCTGTAATGACATTTTGTCTGTCATTGCCATCCACATCCTTCCGTCTTCTGCTGCTGGTGAATCGATCGTTTTCTTCTACAAGATGTAAGTGGTTTTACTTTTTTTTCTTTATTATTCCCTTCTTCGTTGCATTTTGCAGTGAATTTGATGAAAAAATAAATTAATTCGATGGTTGCTTTCCATGTGCTTTCTAATTCCATAAACATCAGAACCTTTTTGGCAACTTTAGTTTGGTAGTTGTGCAGATGCATATTATTTTTGTTGTTAATTTTCCTTTTTTGGGTCAATGCTAGGAAAGGAGATTATTACAGGTATTTGGCAGAATTTAAGACTGGAAATGAAAGAAGGGATGCTGCGGATCAGTCGCTTAAATCTTATCAGGTTTATTCAACTCTCTGTCTATTGTTTTTTCTTCTCCTTCACCAGCCACTGCTTGCTATAGGCTTTTTGTGGAGTTCTGAATGATGATCGGGAAAGCTAATATTCTGCCAATACAGGCTGCTACAAGTACTGCTATGACTGATCTTCCACCCGGTCACCCGATTAGGCTTGGCCTCGCACTAAATTTCTCTGTCTTTTACTATGAGATAATGAATTCGTCTGAAAGGTCAGTGCAGACTTTTGTCATTCAGTTTCATTTTCATGTTCTCCTGTTTCCTAGTGCAAATTTTATTAAGATGTTATATCAAGTCATGCCATGGTTTCTAAAGATTATATAAACTGTATGCATTGCTGTTTCACAGGGCATGCCATCTGGCTAAACAGGCGTTTGATGAGGCTATTCCAGAGATCAATTCCCTCAGAGAAGACTTTTACAAGGATAGTACACTTATTCTGCAGCTTCTTAAGGATAATCTGACATTGTGGACATCAGATCTGCCTGAAGGAGGTAAATGAGTTTGGAATCTACCTTATTTTGAAGTTTCTAGTACACACTTGCACAATCGATTTGCTCGTCCTGACTAGAAAATGTGATTATTTGCCCTTTTCCTCCACCAAGTGGTTATGTCGTTTGTTTTTCCTTGCATTTTAATTCAGTGTTTGAGTGCTTGATTATCATTGGATTCATATTCATGATGTTGATCCTTTTAATAACAGTTATTGGAACCATATGTAATAATAGTTTCATTCTCAATGTTTGGAATTCAAGGCAAAACGAGTCTATTATTCATATCTCTTGTGGGTTAGGTTGTAGAAATTCACTTTTTGTTGTCTTCATGTTAGTTATTTGGTGGCTGTTTTGTTAGGAGAATTCTCCGGTCGAGCTGTCTGTAGGTTTAACATCAATTGTTTCCTTCATAGGACTGGTTAATAACAACCATACATACCCTGAAACAAGAAATATTGAAGAAGAGTTTATTGCAGGAAAAGTCATTATGCCATTTTTATCGAACCATTCTTATCATTTATGGGTGATGGATGTTAGGTTTAGAATTTGTTACCCATAAATTTTTCTGTTGAATGTGCCATCTTTATTGTTACTTAATGGTCTTTGAGTGACCAATATGTTTGTTTTGTATATCCTGGCAGTTAAATCAGTCTTATATTCCTCCTTTGTATCTTTCAAACAACTTGACTTTGTGTGTTTAACACCATATCTAATATGGGAACGTTTACTGTTATTGCAGGTGAACGATCCAGAGACACCAGTACTAATATGGAAGTAAGGAATTTCCATATACATTGAATCTATGTTCTGATTATTGTTCTCTCGTACTTGATAACAATCCTTACTTTAGATTCCATTGTTTGGTGAAATTAATTCAAGTAATAGACAGTCAAGTGCGTAAACAAGTATATGTTTCCATAAATTGACATGCACATCTAGCTTCTTCAAATTGTAAGATTGCGTCTTGTCTCTCTTGTGACATAAATATACATGTTAAGCTTATTATATGTTCTCCTGCTTTTCCCTTGGATCAGCATGTTATGACAAAAACATCTTCTCATAGATGTATATACCTATGCCAAAAAAAATTGAACTATGCACTTCTCATTTTTCCAAGGATTTGTTTCTTTATCCTCGTCTCGCACTTGTGAATAATTTCTTTTAGGAGATTACCATTTGCAATCTTTTTTTATTATTTACAACCCCACAATAAGAACTTTGAATATTTCTAGATTATCCTTTTATAAATAGACATATATGTCATCAATTTATGATTTAATTTCAATAAAATCTTTTCACTCCTTAAACTGCTTTTCTTCCCCTGTTTTTCCTTCTTCTCCTCTTGATCGTCGGAGGTGACATAAAATGACAAAGAAAAAGATAGATGATGAAATGAGACAAACTGAAGTTCAAAGAGGAGGAGGCGAGAAATAATTTTTAAGGTTTGTTAAAATGATTTAATATTTTTAAAGTTATTTATATTCTTTAATAGCTCAAAAGACATCATCTTCTATGTCAGTTGCATTAACCCAGAAGATGCCATGTTCTGGACCTTTGCAACCTTCCCGGTAGGGTGCGCAGACAGTGGGGAGCGACGGTGGCAGCAGTGTGCGCAGGCGGAGGCTATGGGGAAGAAAAAAAAGAAAAAGAAGAGGGTAAAAGTTGGAACCAGATGGGTTATGAAGAGTAAAATATTATTTTATTATTTTTTAAGGAGTTGTGAATAGTAAGAAGGGGGCTCTAGATAGCAAGCTCCTTTCTTTTACCCTCGATTTCCTCCTATTACTAAATAATGGAGGTCACTTTCCTCCTAGTAAGATATCTATGAAGGTTGCAACTGTAAATTCACTCACCGTTCAAGCAACCAAATGTTAATACTTGAAGTAATCCTATGCAGAACTTCAGCTATCTTTATCTACTACCAATTGTGACTGCTAGACCGACATAAAAGAACTGAAAATAGACACCTTGCAAAGTGCCCCACATTTGTTTCTGCAATGGAAGTTCTAAGCATATGACACATTTACCACACCAGCAAGTGATGTATTTTGCACTCTATTTCTTTTCATGGTATCCATAATACAGATGTTTAGGTACAATTTTCTTGGTATCCTGATGTGTTTTTGATGCTTTTGGCAGGAGTAGTTGGTCCGTCAAAGCTGATTGGTGCTCATGTGAGGCCTTAGCTGCTGCTAATGTCACTGTTTGGTGATTCCAGTTCTTCATGTTCTGGTTTCCATTTACGTTTGTCTTGGTTTGACGGGCATGCAAGGGTTCATCCAATGTATAAAATGTTTGGGTGTGGGATCGATAAGCTCTTTGGAAATTCAACTCATGTTTACGTACGAATGAGCTGTTAATCAATATGACTTTCCAGTCTTGCAGGATTGCTGTGTGGTGGAAGCACTCATTTACATCCTGCAATCTCTCTCTCTCTCTCTCTCTCTTTGTTTGCTGCTTTTTGATGGTTGTTTGCTAGGGAGAAGTTGTAAATGATTCTCCAGGTCATTCATTAGTCTCTGATTTAGTTGCGTAAATCACAAAATATTGTGTTATAAGCTATGTTGTCCTTTGTCATGAATAGTCTGTGGAATAACCTGTTACGGTGTTTCTCATGCTCTCATCTGTATGCTTTCATCCTCAAATTTGATGGAGCCAACATTAATATGATACAAGACAAGCTAGCTTTAAGGCTTTCTCAAATCAGATGAGGCAACAATTATGTGTTTAAAGTAATGTACAAATATTAAATTAAACTCAAGTGGATCATAGAAAAGCTAACAATTATGACCCAGTTTTTTTGGCCAAAAAATCAGATCTTTTTAATCAGTATTTTGATACGATTATAGTTACATCTTTTTAGTATCCTGATTATAGTTATATCTTGGTAATGCTGATTATAGTTACATCTTTTTAGTATGCTGATCTCTAAATTTAAAAAAAATATGTTAAAATATTTATAGTTATGAAAGTAAAATATTTAATTTTATTTATCTTAATGTCATCGATTTTATCAACGAAAAATACACACGAATAATATGAAAATGATAAGTAAAAAAAGATAATTTTAACATCTTAATTATTTTTTTATTATACTCTAATTATAATTTCTTAATTGATTATTGTGGTGATAACGGACGATGACGTCATTGTGTCGTAGGCGACATAGCCTGCTTTTAGCAACATTAATTGTTGAACCCCGAGATCCTCAAGACGTTTCTCACATTGATATACTATGAGGTTAAGTGGTTGAAGGTGGAGAAATGGGCACTTGAGTATGCGGTGTGTCTCAGCGAGTTCGAGGACGATAAAGAGCTTCGCCTCCTCCCTCGTTGTGGTCATGTCTTCCACTTGGACTGCATTGACACCAAGCTCGCCTCCCACCCCATCTATTGTGTTGGCCTTGTTGAGCAAGTCACTAATGACAACCTCGACCTGCTACCCATACCCTTGCTATAGATGCGACGGGTCTTCAGCTTGAAATCACTACCTCGCCATAAGATTATGTCACCATTGTCGTGGACCCACAGTGGTGGCGATGAAAGAGGAGGAGCGGAAGTAGGTAGTCATGAAATTAGCACGGATTAGAAGCTAGAGGCAGGTGGCCCAATCGTGATCTGAGTGGCAAGCGACGAAGCTCACATGGTCTCATTCAATCGGACATTCTGAGGTTTGGCCGGTGGAGGACGTCGACCAATACACCCTACGCTTATTGCTCTCCCTCCTCTTTCCTCATATGACACTACTCTGCATTTGAGTCAATGGGGCAGTGAGGCATTTGCCTTGGTGTCACCCGGATCGCGAGAACTTCGTCAAACGTTGCTTGGATCTCAACTAGGTCACCGCCCTTTGCTTCCAATATGTGCCAATTACATGGTTGCATATTTCCGCTCCTCTTTCATCTCCATTGTTGTGGATCCACGACAATGGTGATATGATCCTATGGCGGGGCAGTGGTTTCGAGTTGAAGACCCGTCGCGTTTTAGTAGTGATAGCTATAGGTAGTAAGTTGAGGTTGTTATTGGTGGCTTGTTCGACAAGGTTAGCACGATAGATGGAGTAAGTTATATGGGAGGAGAGCTAAGCGTCAAAGCAGTCCAAGTGAAAGACGTGGCTGTAACGGGGGAGGAGACCCTCACCATCCTCGAACTCATTGAGGCACACTGAACACTCGAATACCCCCCTTCTTCACCTTCAGTTCCTTAATCTCAGACTATGGGAAACATCTCAAGAACCTCGGGACTCAATTTTGTTGTCGTTAAGAGAGAGCTGTGATTGTACCATTATCCGTTATTATCATAATAATCGATTAAGAAGTTTTAATTATATTTTTAGTTGTCCAAGATTCTAATCTAAATTTTTTTAAATCGAATAAGTGAGATATCTAAAAATTCTTTCGTTCACTTATCCATTAGAGTGCTCTCTGCTACGTTACGCTATGCTGAGATAGCAATGTGCTTGTGGAATCTGTCATGGAGGGAGAGCTTTGATGATAGATGTCGAGATTACCAGGGTGATCTTTGAAAGGTCTCATAGTCTGCTACCATTTACCAAGACATGGATCAACTCTGTCTTCTCCTTCGCATATCTCTTCACATCACCTGTCGTAGGAGACAGAGGGAACATCAAGCGACAAGGAGATGCCAAAAGCCGAGTAAGGAAGCCGTCGGGTGCGGGAGCGGTCCAAGCTCGCGAGGGACACAGGAGTGGGTGATGGAAGGACGAAGGCCGGCGGCGGGGGCGGTGGTCTACCTTCGAGATCGTGTTCGTCGGTTGGTGGCGTCCGCTTCAATGTAGAGGTGCCGTCGAGGCGGAGCAAGATCCCCTGTCCCGGCGGAGACTGGCACCGCCCGGGCCTGACCTAAAGGAAGCGTCACATGACATCATCACAGCGGGCATCTCGGTCAGATCACCTTTCTCTAGAACAAGGATTTAGATTACTTTACCTAAAATCTTTAACTTAGGAAAGACGGATCAAAAGAATTGCATTCCCCAACAAATCGAAACTCTTCATCTATTGGTTTCGATCGTCCTGCTCCGGATCGCCAACCCTCGGCTGAAAGAGTGGCCCGGACAGCGGGTGAGGTCCATGTGAGTGGCTGCAAGCTTCCAGGGCTCTGCCGTTACCACCAGTCTCCTTGCGTCCCCGCCGCTGTACTCAGACTTTACCCAAAGGTAATTCCTTTCGACGGGCAAAATTTACTCGCTCCATCTCTGCAGAATTTGGGATCGTATACGTTGGCGGAGGTCACTTGGTTGATGTCACACAAGTGGATGAAGCAGCATCTACTTGTTAGGACACGGGTTGCGTGACCTTTGCACGAGTTGACTCACTCATCTGCTTCTTATGATATTGTGACACGAGGAGCATTTATCTCGGGAAACTTCGGTCCACCCATGATTTTGACCAATCCAACTTGCTATCACCATCCTCTCGCTGGTCCCCGTTGGACTCGGTGGATTCTTGGTAGCATTTTCCAGCTGCAGATGGCCCAGACGCTTGGTCTGACTCTAGCTTGGCAAGTCTTCCCTCTCTTATGTTGCCTTTCTTCTGCAATAATCGAAGCTCCACCTTCCCTGTGCACCGCACCCTTCGGCCAAGCTCGGTATATTGTTTCCAGTATCTTCTGTTTGAAATTCCCATAAACACTTAACTAAATTCTTTGTTGTTTCCTGGGGTCCCTCCCTACTTTGTTTTTCTGCAGCAGGACTCCCCAAGTCCACCTAAATTATTGGATGTTGTTGCTCTTCCCAGCAAAAGATCTCTGCTTTCTTCCAGGTAAATCTACTTACATACCTCCTTTCGTGGTTATATGGATGGATTTTTCTTGAATAACATGTTGGGACATTGTTTATTTTGTTATAGAGTCTTTTTGTAAAACTTAACTCCTTCTGTGCTTCTAAGGCAACGTCCTCCCTTTTTGTTCTACCCTTTTAGCAGCTAAAGTTTATGGAACAAACTCTTGTATGACAAGCATAATTTTTACATCAAACTGACAATTTTTGCATTCGTCCTGAGAGGAAACATTGGGTACAGCATCTTAAATAATTTAACATACTGGAGAAATTGTCCATCCATGATCTGAAAAGAAAAAATTGGAAAACTGAGAACATCTCGGTAGCAATACCAATTGATTTACATTGTAATACTGCTGGACCATCCTTATATAAACTTGCCACTGATTTCTGAAGATTTTAGGCAAAAATCAAGTGCGCAGGGCGTGTTATGAAGATGAAATGTTAGAACAAATGTATTGCAATTGTGAAATTTCGGCGCACAATCGTGTGGTCCTTATGCTATTAGGCAGATACCAAAGGATACCAGTCACATACAAGAAAGATGGTCATTACATATCTTTTGGTTTTGTTCCTTCTAATTTTGCCTTAAACACGTCTCTGTGTGGTTGTTTAGCTCACTTGATTCATAGTGATTCAACAGTTTTCAAATAATTCTGGATTCAGAGGACCAATATCTTGGATCTATCAAAGTAAGAAAATAGGGTCCTAATTGTATTGCGGCTAAAGAGGCAAACAAAATGGAAAATCGTGAAGGACACAGGGTTCATATGGCAATCACTATTCAACTTCACCCTAGGTTCAAAGAAAAGGCATCTTTTTGAACAAAAATATCGACAGTCCGACAGCTACATGTAGGAATGAATTGCTCCAGATTGATTCATATTAGTGGCTTCATGCCAAAACTTTTTCGTATGATTTCAGTTTTGCTGATCTTTTTAGAATTTTCTTTTCCAACAAAGTAAATAACTTCTCTGTGTTACTAGCATTTTATCAATAATCTTGAAGGTATGGAACTACAATGGCATGCAATTTTTGGCCATAGATGCCAATCTAAAGTAGTAAATGATTTGTATGGCTTGGTTGCAGAAAAGAAAAGATGACTATACATAATCATGTAAAAATGGAGTTATAGCATAGAATCTGATTTTTGATAGTTAAATTCCAAAAGGCACTGATGGAGGTCAGCAGAAACGTGGTGTAGGCATACTTATAATGCAGTTTGAATTGTTGGATGGATAAAATTTGGGTTTATCTGTTCAGATGATCTCTTTGATACTTGACAACTTTGACACAATGCTTCTTTTGTCAATTATGAGTGGTTTCAGTAGTAATAGCTGTTTCATTTGGACGTACAACTATTCCTTGTTTGATAATTGAGCACATCTCATGCTTCGTATATATTTCCTTCTGAAGTGTTTCCAGTGTCTGTCAAATCAAAATTTGGATGATTACTAACAAGATGAAGGTGATCTTTATGCTGATTTTGGCCTCTCTGTATTCTTGCATTCAATCTGTTCGACAAGGTAACTTATTATTGCTTCCTTTCCAGTTCAGTTTGATGTGACAATTCCTGCATATGAATTTTCTTGTTGTTTGATTACGATACAGTTTATTGTTCCAGTACTAGTACTTTTGGTTTCTTCTGTTCTTTTTCAAGATATTTGCCAGCTTTTTCTATACATTTTGTTCTTTTGTTGAAAAAAATGAGTACGAACTTGTACTTCTGTTGATGTACTGATTGTTGGGACAGTTTTGCCCAAGATATTAAGCTGGTGGAGAAGGGCCCAACATTACATATCAGATCTAAAATCCCCACTTATGTGCAAGCTGGTCGAAGGTTTAACTGGCTTCACACATGGACTCGAGTGAAAACAACATCACGAGCCAAAAGTTAAACAGGTTTTGCACAAAGCATATGAGGATGAAACACTGTGCAAAGTACTAAGGAAAATGGACATGGAAAAGAAGGCCAGGGTTCAAGCCCATGATTACCGTGAAAGCTGAGGTGAAAATGATAATAATTTCTATCACGTATTATACCACCATTCTTATGCTGCTCGGAGGGCTTTAAACCACTCGCAGTTTGTCAAAAAGCTGAAAATCTTAGACTGTTGGAATACTCAGTTATGTTACTTCTGTAGGATTAACTGAAACCAGAAAAATATTTAGTTTTTGATCTAGTTCTGCGGATATCATGCAGCAAATGTCACAATTTCTTAGTTGATTGGTATTCTAGGATCAGCTCACCCCCGTTATATGGAGATCTTGTTTGCCATTTTTCCTGTATCGGTTTATACCAATCAGTATCTAGCAATCCAAGCATGAATCAGGATGCATACTGTTCCTTTTCACATGGTTTGTTCCTTCTTTTTTCTAACTATGGCTTAGGGTTATCCTTTAGACAAATTTACCATCGGCTTAGGAGAATTTCAATGCTACTCGCCTCAGGTCCTTTCTCTGAGAATGATAGTTTAACTCATTGGTTCTTATCCTCAAAAGCATTTTTTTTTTATAAAAAGTAAAATTAATTAAGAAGTAGGTAGTCTACAATATGACCTGTGCAGGTCATCATACTAAATGGATAGTAAGTCCAATTGACCGCAATTGTCTTCCCCTAGTAGCAGTCCAATTGACTGCCCCATAACATTCCCTGGTAGCAGCCCAAGTGACTGCCCTATTACATTCCCAGAAGCAGTATATAAACAAACAAAAGATTAGAATTTTGAAGTGTAGAAACAGATGTCAGCCATAAAATTCCTAATCCCATGGTGGAGTTTGATCATTAGGAGGCATTCTTTGATGATCGTCGAGTCAGTTTCATGGATGAGAAACATGTCCATTAGCTATAATGTCTTTATGGAGGCACTACAGTAATGGATAATAAACTTGAAGAAATTTTTAGGCACGTATCCAGAAGATAGCTTTGTTGGATATCTAGTAGTCTGTTTGATAAATTCAGTTGGTTATCTAGTGTCTGATTGCTTATGATTCCTTATAATGGATGCAACATGCAACTGGTGGAAAAATTGTTTCAGGTAGATACTAGGAAATTATGCATTGTCAGTTCTTTTGCTATTTTGTTGCTACTACTTTTCTGAAACTGTATAACAATTATTAATATTCACCAGGAATAGTGCTTTATGAGATAAAAATGCAGCTTCAAGATACTGATAACCAGCTTTCTACTTGGGCTCCTAATCAAGTTAGTCCATGCACATGGAGAAGCGTGCAGTGTGACGATAGCAATATAAATGTCATTCAATTGTAAGTTAAACTCATGATAATTCTGTGCTCTGCTTTTTTTCTTTCTTTTTTTTTTTTCCCACATGGCGGCTCATCTGTTATGGACTGTACAATATCTTCTTTATTATGCTTCAAGTTCATAAAAGAGCTATATCATTGGTCGCAGATATTACAAATTTTTACTTTGATATATTTGCAGGATGCTGCCTTCAATGGGATTCAAGGGAACCCTGTCGCCTATAGTTGGAGAACTTGTATATCTTGAAGTATTGTAAGTAAATAATTATGTGATGAATTCTGACATTTTATGTTATACCTTATTGGTAGTATATTAGTTTAAGATACAGCCATATGCACACCGAACTACTTGGATGGATTTTTTTTTTCCATATATACTCATCTGTCACTGTGTCCCTGTAGCATATCCTTATTTATTGTATTATGATATTATCAATCACCAGATTTCTCTCATTTGCTTTCCATTGAAACAATTTGCTTTTGTTTTGATGTCTTTCCTCTGGAAGTAACTTATGATATTGCACTATCCATGCAGGGAGCTCTCGGGTAACAATATAACAGGTAATATTCCTGGAGAGCTAGGAAACCTATCAAGGTTGACGAGCCTGAAATTACAGAATAATCAGTTTACTGGAGAGATACCAGCATCCCTTGGCAGGCTTCCTAAACTAAAATTTATGTATGCAGGAACACCTGTTTGATATATCTATTCAAGATATAGTGCTACTTTCTCCTCATCTAAAGTGTATGTTGCTCTTTGCTTACATGTATGCAGGGATTTAAGTGAAAATAATTTAAATGGAAAAATTCCTGATTCCTTGTCATCCCTTGGAAGCTTGACTGACATGTAAGTGCAAGTGCTGTTTCCAGTGATAGAAAATATGGGTTGTATTTTTCATATATTAAGCTGAAATGTGTTTAAGGCTTTAAGCCTTAACTAAGTTTCAATACTGTGTATATAAGCTATATGTGCAACATCCTACTTCTGTATATCTTCTTTTGCAATACCAGATTGGTTCATTTACTCTGTGTTGGCAGTAATCTTGCTTACAACAAACTCACTGGTGGTGTACCCAAGCAGCTATATCAAGTGACCAAATTCAAGTAGGCAGAACTTCACCTTATTTAAGATTGTGAATCACATTTTGTGATTCTGGAATATTGAAAATGTTCTTTATTCTTGAATAAGGGCGAAACATGATTCATATTTGTTCTCAGTGTTTGGCAGTTAATCCATTTTCAGTGCTTAATCAGTTTTACAGGTAATAATATTAGTTGCGGTGCACACTTCTTGAATCAATGTGAATCCGACTTACTTAATCAAGGTATAGCACATTGAATGTCAGTTTTTTAATATATATTTTTATTATCTTTAGTGTGTCATTCATAACATTTCTTTGTTTTGCTTCTTCAGAGCATTTCTTATTTTTTGCATCATAATCTTGACAGGAGGATCTCATAATTCAAAGAGAACATTGTTGCTCGGAGGTATTGGAGGAGGCATAGGGCTCGTATTTGTGACTGTTATATTTCTTCTTTGGAGAAGCAGGAAGAAGGATTATCTACATGATTTGTTTGTTGATGTTGCAGGTTTTTTCTCTTTAAATGAATTTTTTAAGTTCACCATTTAATCAATTTGGATCTGTTTTCATATCTGTTCTATCCACTGGATTTCATCTTTAGCTTGCTAATCATTGAGGTTCCTCATGAACCTCCATTTTGCTTTCTTTTTGCATTGCAAGGCATCACAAGAGTGGTTTAGGAGAATAATTAGCTTACCAAATTGGTACTTCATCTGTTGGTCAATCATATATGAGACATCGTTGTATGGTTTGAGTTATAAATCTAACTAGAAATCTCAAGACAGTTCTACATAAATATTGCATATTCCATTGGTTGCTTGGTGCTAAATCTCCATATCTGATGACTGACATTGATATCTAATTATATAGGTGAAGCAGACCACAAAATCGAATTTGGACAATTGAAGAGGTTTTCATGGAGGGAATTACAAATTGCAACTGGTGACTTCAACGAGAAAAATGTTCTTGGACAGGGTGGTTTCGGCAAGGTATACGTAGGAGTACTTTCAGACGATTCCAAAGTAGCCATAAAACGGCTAACTGATCATGGCAATCGTGCTGGGGAAGATGCTTTTTTACGTGAAGTTGACCTAATAAGTGTTGCTGTTCACAAAAATCTTTTGCGGTTGATTGGTTTCTGTACGACACCTACAGAACGACTTCTTGTTTATCCTTATATGCAAAATTTGAGCGTTGCCTATCAGTTACGAGGTACCACTCCCTCAATCACTTGATTTCTGAATACTTTTAACTAGTGAGGACTTGAAAGTTGATGATCTACATCTATAGCTTAACAATGAATCTTACAAGTCACCATATATGCCAATGAGTACTTTGCACCCCATTTTATGCTAATTCATTCTATATAACATTCAATGCCAATTCATTCTAGAAATTTTACCTTTTTTGCTTCAATTTAAATTGCGTTCCTGATATGAGATGTTCAGAATGTTATATTGATAATGTAACTTATTCTCTCATTACTCTTTCTAAAATACCGTATTATGGCTTGAACTAGTGCAGAACTTAAACCTGGTGAGCCAGTGTTAGATTGGCCAAGAAGGAAACAAGTGGCTATGGGCACAGCACATGGACTGGAATACCTTCATGAACATTGCAATCCCAAGATTATACACCGTGATGTAAAAGCTGCAAATATCTTGCTTGATGAGAACTTTGAAGCGGTTGTTGGTGACTTTGGCTTGGCCAAGTTGGTGGATGTGAGGAAGACTTCGGTGACAACTCGAGTTCGGGGGACAATGGGCCACATAGCACCCGAGTATCTTTCGACTGGAAAGTCCTCAAACAAGACAGATGTTTTTGGTTACGGAATCATGCTCCTTGAGCTTGTCACAGGACAGCGTGCTATAGATATTTCGCTATTGGATGGAGATGTGTTATTACTTGACAAAGTAAGATTAGTTTGCTAAGAACTTTTTCTTTCGCTTTACAAGTAGTATTACATGATTTATGCGATAGTTCAGCATGACGTCTTTTGTTCTTGTTGTGATACATTATTCAGTTAATATTACTTCATTAGGCATTGATTGTCACCAATGAATCAAATCCGTCGTGTCAGTTTCATTACATAATTACTTGTTTGTTTAATTCTTTTTTTTTCTGTTGCTACAGTTCAACAACTGTTTAACTGATTTTGTGTGTTCTTTTCTTGTAAAGGTGAAAAAGCTTTGGCGGGAAAATCAACTCGAACTCATTATTGACCCCAACCTAGACAGGAATTACGACATTCTGGAAGTCGAAAAGTTGTTCCAAATCGCTCTTCTATGCACACAAGCATCACCGGAAGACCGTCCGATCATGTCAGATGTAATCCGGATGCTAGAAGGTGAAGGCTTGACGGAGCGGTGGGAGCAGTTGCAACAAGTTGAGGTGACTCAAAAGCAGGACTACCAGAGGATACAAAAGAGATTGAATTGGGACGATGACACATCGTATAACCAGGAAGCTATCGAATTGTCTGGTGCAAGATGATGTGTGGAGACCTGTAACTACTAGGGTTTCCGCCATCTCCGGTGCAACTCCATGAGGGGTAGACCTTCAATTTGAACTGACAAAGGTAACACCACTAACTTTAAACCTTGGATTTAACATTTGCATATAATATGGGGCTTTTCCTTCAGTTGTTACATTTTGTTGCATTTTCTATTACAAAGGGAAAATATGGAGTCATTCATGTGATTGACTTCTGTTGCTTCCTCCAAGAAAGTTAAAGTTCTTTGGCAAGAGAAGTCACATAGCAAAACACAGCTTAACCAGGAAAAGCAACACATGATGACATAGAATTATATTAGCATCTCCAAGTCCCCCATTACCTCCACAGTTCTTGGGATGTAATCAATACTTGTCTCACGGCAGATTAAGCTGTACTAACTGGATCATAATATTAAGAAACATGTTGAATACTTTTGTGTACACAAAGATTTATTGAAGTTGCCACAACAGATGCAGAAGAACAGATGTTCTATCTAAATTTTGTTGGTTAGCTAAGCACACCACAAGCTTTTGAATCAATTGTGACAACATGGCACAAGAAAGCTACAGACCTGATGTTATTACCTCAAGTTGTATCTAATATGAAATGATCCTGAGTTCCTTTACAAACCCGGTGCTCGTAGCAGAGAAGCACTCCAGTTAAGCCAGCTTTGGGAAAGATATCTGCTACATCATCATAACGAGCCAAGTCCTCCACTGGGCTCGAGTGCAAGGATTATAATGAAGAAGAAAAGGAAAACAAACAAGCCAAAAACATCAATTTGTTGTGATGCGAAGCCAGGGTCACAATATAACATTGTTCAACTAAAACTGGATTGCATGTCTTCTTAGGGGCAAATCCTGATGCACGATAATTAAAATAAGAACAACATGGCCTGATCCTAAAACACTCCTGTTGAAACCAAAGAATGAAAAGGAAGGTCATAAAAGATGCAGTATCTGGAAAGAGAAACAACATTAGGCATTGTAGACACCTCATAAGCTAGCAAGCTGAGGGATTAGCTTGACACGAACATCCACCACTTGTACAGACCAAAGCTGTAGATCAGGGTGATCATTACCACCCTTAGAGGGTATAACTTAAATCTGCATGAGGTAAGACAATAGTTATGATTTAATTAACCAGTTAAAAAGATAAGCTTCATGCATGAACAAATATTAACGCATGGTTCACAAAATTAATGTGCCCATGATGGACTAACTTCACGATGGAAGAAACAACTTTACAGACGATGCAGTAAAGTTGTACGAGCATTAAAAATCAAGAAACTACAAGAAGTTATGTAGGTAGAAGCATCTAATTAACTGAAACCAAGAAATTGACATGGGAAATAAAGCCATAACCATCTGGCAAAGTAGACTGAATAAATATAGCAGATCTCAACCCTTCTCGGCTTCTCCTTCATATAAAAACCAATATTCAAAACACTTTTTTTATTATGGAGTCTCCTGATCATAGACATCACCAGTCAATCTTTCAAAATATATCAAGCAGTGGCCTAGAACAACATAATTCAATCACTATATTTAAGCAAATTAACAATCATATGCTACGATGCCTTAAAAGGAATAGGAAAGGCATTCGATATATTTGTTTGTGAAACCAGATACCAGATTCCTAAAACATAGATCATTCTATTGGAGTTGGTGCATTGATGACCAATATCTCACCCTTGTATTTCCAGAAGTTGACAAACACACAAAGGATCTTGAAAAGTTCAGTGAGTGAATCTTCTAATACAGAAACAAAAGAACAACAAGCCTTCAAGTCACACCGGTGTAGATCAGCAAATTAGCAGACACCAAAAATATTTTGCTGTTCAAAATGATTGACTTCTCAGTCAATGCACTCTCTAGTACACTAAATGTGCATCATGGATCATCAGCAACTTTTCCCCGCATTTCTAAAAATCTATTTTAGGTTCATTGGATTTTTCTAATTCCTTTTACTTGCAGTGACTTGTGAATTGAAATTTTAAAGGAAGATACTCAACTTGCTCTGAAGCTTACTTCAACTTGTCCATTTATGCACTTCCTTCTAGTATTCCTGGACTTGCTGAGTGCACAAATATTCTCTACTAGATATCGTTTGAACGATCACATATCATGTCTTCTTCTATATATTGTCAATCTTATTAGGATATCTTACTAATTTAGTCTTCCTGATCCGTCATTTCCTACTGCTTAGAAAAAGGCCAAAGGAAACAACACCTAGCATGTAAACATATGTGCATAGTCATGGAAGCGTTTCAGACTTCCACCATGGAAACAACTTTTCAAAACACAAGTGATCACAATATTATGTAGCGTGAACTTGTATCAGTACAAGTGCTCTTCTACCAAACCAAGTGAGTCTAAAGTGAACTAATTATGTTACATGACATTCACATAATTGTTATGTTAGCGTACTGGCAGACATTAGCAAAAACGTCTTTCTCATTCATTTTTCCTTTTTATCGAATGACTTCTTCTCCTGCAGAAAGTATACCATTTTGAGTGAAAGAAAACACAAACTAGTCAAAACAACATGTGGAAATTATGCCTTCATTATTTACCCTTTGCAGAAAAAAAAAACTTGTGGATAATATCCTATAAGAATTGTATGATATATTTCCAGTAAATCTTGAATTTTTCATTAACTACTTCCTCAAAAAAATTCCCATGGAGAACATGGAAAAATCTAAAAATTAGTAAGCCATCATCCTAGGCCAATCTAAGATTTCTACACACCACAAGAACCTTGATGATTGTTTGACTTCTGCACAAGTGGCTAGCTTACAGGTAATTGTTTGACTGACCAATGACAAAAAAGGAATTGCTTATCCAAATCAATAAAAACGTCAAGACAGCAGCTTAGCCTTGGACATCTTAATATTTGAAGGACTGCTCAGATCTGCATGTTAAACACCCAAACGCACCAAATGAATTCTGAAGCTCTTAATTCTCAAGTCATAACATCTAAATGTATATTTCCAGTCATTCTGTACCGAACCATATAGACGATTGGCAAAGATTAGTTACATTCGTGGAACATGTATGATCTTGCACATGCGCCACATCATTCTGGTTGCTCATTTGTTCCACTAATTATTTTGTGAATTCATCCCCTTCTTTGTCCCCCCTTTCTTTTTCTGTTGTTCTCAGCACATCACTACATCTTCAACAGTATCCCATCAGCACTACTTCAAACTTAGTTCGACGCTGTGCGACAATCCCTATGTACCACATCAAGCAACCACGAGCTTCTTCTCTGACGAGAAGCATTCGATTTTTCACTCGAAAAGGAGCGCGAACTATTAGATCGAGGACTATGAATTTCACACTAGTGCTAGTTAGATTTCGAAGTTTATGGTCAGACAATTGAGGTGAATTTGACTCCAAGCTGAAATCTTGAGACAAATCAGATCTCCAAGCCTAATCCCCAGTCCGACAATGGCCAAAACGAAAGATCTTGAGCTAAGAAGGGGAAGAGCGGACCTCCAGCTGCCGGGAGCCCGATCGGTGGCCGGGGTTCTCCGAGCGGGCATGGGCGTGAACCACTGCGAGAAGTCCCGGTCGAAGTACTCCCAGTCGGGCAAGAGAATCCCGGCGATCCCCAGGATCCCGAAGGCGTAGGTGGTCAGCATCTTCTTGAGGGAGAAGGTCCAGATCCCGACGACGGCCATCAGCGCGGCAAGCGCCACCAGGCTCTTCTGCAGCGCCTCCTCCCGCCCCATCTCCGCCCCCTCCACCTTTCCCTTTTTCTTCTCCCAACCCCGACCAACCTATAAGAAGCAGTATAAGAAGAAGAGGAGGAGGAAGAGGAGGCGAGTGAGGTATGGCGAGGAGAGGAGAGAGAGCACGAAGGGCGTGAGGAGGGGGTTTGGGTGCCCATTGTGGGTGGGTGGGAGGTGTGTGCGGAAAGAATGCGTCGCTTTCTTCGTCCTTCAAAGCGAGCCAACTGCCCCGCGCTCCCCTCCCACAAGGATCCCATGCTACTAAAGATAATATCTTCACATGCAATTCGAACTGATCTTTACCACGTGTCCAATATCTGATCGTAGAACGATGATGTGGTCACGTAGGACAGCGGAGCTTCGCGAGGGGATTTGCATCAGATCCTCCGCCACACCGTCCGGCCCGTGGGCTTCCACTCCCGACAGCTGCATGGTGGTTGATCCGGGGCGGGTATTCGACACCGCGACTTCGTTTCCGAACACCCACATTCTGCACCCTCCCGCTTATTTGCATGGGCGCAGGTAACGGGTTTAAAGTATGACGTGTTAATGGCTTGATGGGTTTAAAACCCGCTAACTACTCACCGAAGTCGCATCACTCATCCCTCTCAATTAAGATCCAATTTAAGTGTTCCTGGATGAGGATGAACCCCGAAGGACCCACGCATCTTTAACGTAATTGGATGTGCATGTATACAGATCTCTCTTATACGAATCCTTCACGTCCCTGTAATTTCCATGTCGCATCCTTTGTGGAGCTCCGATGTTGGGACTCAGATAGTAGTTTGAAGGTATATCAAGGGAAGGTAATAGAAGCTCGAACATGAAGTGCACTAAATATGTACTTCAGCTCGTCGATAAATGCGAATTCGACATTAACTCGGTCAATTGATTGGACTCACAAACCTTTAGTTCCGGTTTGGACCGGGTTGACATATGAACCGGGTTGGGTGCACACCGTAACCCACGTGATTCTCACGTGACGTAGTGGGACTTGGTTTGTTGACCTGAAATCACTACAGTACTGGTGGGATTACCAAACACATGACAGGACCAATCAAAACATTCCACGTATTTGTTACCTTACTTGGCATATCATATGCGGATCATTTTGGTGTTGTGCTGTTCTCGAAGAATAATGTGATCCCGAGTTGACGGTTACTGGTTCGTCAAGTTCTCTCCCTTCGAAGAGTAAACGACCTTTCTTTCCCCTTCGCTTCTTCCCCATCTGAGTTCTATCGATCGATCGAGAGAGAAAGAGAGAGGAGAAGAGGAAGAAGTGGAGAAGGCCCTAATGGCGGTGGTCTCGGCTCTGGCGAAATACAAGTTGGTGTTCTTGGGGGACCAGTCGGTGGGGAAGACCAGCATCATCACTCGGTTCATGTACGACAAGTTCGACACCACTTATCAGGTCCATAAACATCCTCGTCTCCTCTTCATTCCATATGCTTTCATGTCTTACCCTTACTTGCTGGGGTCTCTGATTCGTGGTCTTTGAAAGAGGTTTGTCTTTGATCTGTCATTTTGGTGAGTGGATACATCCTGTGTTTTCCGGGTGTCTAGATTGGGATTTTGATCGATAGAGGGATTCGGCTAGCAATTGTGCTTGACGGAAAACCCAATTTGATTTTCTGTTGGAGGTTGACGAATCATGGGCTGGTCCTTATGGTTGATTGTGTCAAATGGGCTTTTGCTTTCCTTTAAATATTGGAGGTTGCTGTTACATTTCTGAGCATGCATGACCTAACCAGAAAGCATCACATCGGAATTCCCGATGGAAGATCGAAAGGGAGAATTTTTTCTTCTACTTTCTAGTCATAATGTTTACTTCTCATTTAGTCTTAGCATTATGGATTGAAACACATTTTCTTTTTACACATCTTCATCTATATGATTCATAGATTTGTCCATTTACGCCTTTACTGTGATGCAACTTGATTTTGAGTGCTAAGCTTTCTTGATCTGGTAAGCAAATATTATCTAGGAATATCTGCAATGAGTCCGGTATCCCAAATCAGATACACAAGTAAAGCAAAATGATCACACGGAAAGACACCTAATTCTAACTATTAATGACTTGCAATGTTGTTTCCATTCAGTAAAAAGGAAGCATATTAGCAGATGCATTACATATAAAGAGAATCATTTGTTGCTTTTGTAAACCTTTTGAATATTTCTATCAGGGAAAATAATAGGACTTATTTTATACATCCTATATATTCGCTATTTTAGATGATGGAAACAGATATTTGAAGTGTAATTGCCTTTTTGGTTTGTGTCCTTTACCAAATTAGTGTTGATCACATGACCATTCAAAACAAGATTTATTAGATTTATACATGTATCAACCTGGCATACGTGGACTGACCCAGCAATAAACTTTAGCAAATTAAACTTCTTTAGATGCAATTGTTCATGTATGATCAGAGTAATAATTAATGCTCAAGAAGTTCTCAAGTCCCAAGTCTCACTATCAAATGAAAGCAACTATAATTCTTTTTTTTTGCAAAAAAGTAAATAATGAAAATGGGATTCAAGCTCAAAACTTTATAATTATCTGTCAAAATCTTTACCAATTATTCTAGTCAACACCTTCAAAGTAACTATAATTCTTATTAGTGGAGAAATTAAAGGCACCCCATGCTTTATATTTAGCAGTGAATTTAATCCCAATAAACAAGTTTCTTGGAGAGATTATACTCATGCTCAGATTATTCGGATGGAAAGTAACTGCATGGTGCTTCCACCTTCTGATGCGTGAAGGCTGACAGTCATTTAGGCTTTACATTAGCAAGTATATATTAATTACCCTTCACTCTGGAGAAAAATATGTTGTTATTTCTGTTCTATTAATTCCTCAATTTGTTGAGAAGATATATTGCCTGCTTATAGTGCATTAGAAATTATATATCACAGATGTAATCATGGCAATTCTTACTGCGGAAGTCTAGAAGCTAGACAGATGGTATTAACAACCAATTGGTCAAACAACTAGTTTAATCACTTGGGAAGTTAGATATTTCTGCCCATTCTCCGAGAAGGATCTTGAAAGATAGGGTCATTATATGCTGTTTTTAAGCAGGCACTGGTGTTTGACAACTATTGGATATAAAAACATTTTTGTAAAAGCTAAATCGTTTGTGCAAACTAAACCGTAAGGTCTTGGGGTCAGCAGCAAAACTATTCTGTGGTTGGGAACTTGGTCCTGGGGTCAGGAACATGGACCTATTCCAGGCATTAAGCTGCGTCCCAAACTATTCTGTGGTCAAATTTCTAACATGCATTTTCTTACAGGCCACCATCGGCATTGATTTTCTATCCAAAACAATGTACCTTGAAGACCGTACAGTTCGTCTGCAGCTCTGGTAACGTGTTCGGTTCTCTTTCTATTTCTTTGGTGACAACTTATCTTTGATAAAGTTACTGAAAAGTTAACATCACATGTTTGAGTTGCACGAGTCACATTTGCCAATACAATTGTAATTACTGAGCTACTCATGAAAATTTGAAATACAAATAGAAAATTAAAAAAAATCTATTTTTTGCTGCCAAAATTTTACTATAAGGAAAATGAAATCCTGACAGTTCCCGTATTCTACATCTTCATTTTTTTTCTTCTAAAGGTCATATGAACCATGTCCTTCGTGTTTCTTTAAAACTTTTTGTCTCCAACATTTTCCTTGTTAAGCGTTGTTTATCTTTTGCATGATTTGATTCACTCATCTTGTCAAAGTCAGTACAAAAACTAGTGGAGCATGATTCCTTTAGAGGTAACATGGTTGCTTATACCAAGTGCTATGGAACAAATTCTCTGTGATTTTCCCAGGTCTTCAGGCCCTAGTATGTAGCTTGTAGCTTTCTAACACAAGCTTTCGATATCCTTCTCCTATGCAATGTAGTTCTTTGTTAGCACGTGGCTTGATGTGATCACAAACATCCAAGGGAACTATGATATGCCGCTATTGTCTTAATTTAAGAATACAAATCAAATTTGTTTTCTCACGTTGAATAAAATTGTTTAGCTTACTGGAAGTTATTTACTGAATGTCCAGTTTTTCGAAAAGAGCCTCGGGTTAATTGGACCTTCAATTGCATATTAGTTTCTGCATCTCCGACTCTTGAACATTAACTGATGGCTTATTCAACGCATATTTCTTACATAATTGGTAGGGACACTGCAGGACAGGAGAGATTTAGAAGCCTTATTCCAAGCTACATTAGAGACTCCTCTGTTGCAGTTATCGTTTATGATGTATCTAGTAAGTACTGGTTTTCTGGTATTGACTTGAAATTTTCAGGTAAAATATGGTGTTGTACATAGATTTGAAAGGAATAACATGTTATAGCATTAACCAGATTTAAGTAAGAAATCGAGTGATTACTAGGATATCATGTTTGTCCTAATCTAGTCTAATTGCAAGTTGTAATTGTCAGATGAATCTTATTGCATATTTTAATCTGATAACTTTCATTTTTCCTATCCCTGTTAACGTCACCTTCAGAGTTTGACTACTTGGTCATCAAAAAAACATAGGTTTAGTGCTATCAAAATGTTTCCTGTAGTAATAAAAGACCAAAAAAAACCCATATAGTACTAATATACGAGCGTGAGAGCCTTAGTACTCCTAAATCACTCAGAAAAGGTAGCATTATTTGTCACTAACAATGCCTTATCCTTTATACCTTTAGCTATTGCAAATTTATGTATATTGCACTTTGGACATTCATATATGTTCTAGTTTAGCTTACCAAAGAGCAACACGCTGCTTAATTATCTTGACCTGATGATGCATAGGACATTACCAGGTGGCTGCCATATTATCATGTTAATATAATTGAAATAATTCACATTTCCCTCCTCTACATTAACTACACCTTTTTACATCCTTTTCCTAAAGAGTCTGCTTGCATGAAAGAATCACCTGGTGCTAAAAGCATATGTGGAATTAGTTAGATCTCTCTTACTCTGTATATTAAGAATCACCTGGTGGTAAAAAGTGAGAGGTAAGTGACCCCGTTGTAGGATACACAAATAAAAAATTCTCTGAGCCTCTGATTAAATTTCATGCTGATTGAGTATCATCACTACTGAAATGATCATATGTTTCCATTAAAATGAGAGTATTTTTTCCCTCAGTTTGTATGCCTTTCTAAAATACTAGTTGTATCTATAGTAAGAGTAACTGTCTATTAATATGCTCCATTTTCTTTGCAGATCGGCAATCATTTTTAAGCACTTCAAAGTGGATCGAGGAAGTGCATACAGAACGAGGCGGTGATGTTATCATAGTTCTTGTTGGAAATAAGACGGATCTTGTTGACAAAAGGTCACAAGTGCTTCCATACGATGCCCAATAGGTCTTCCTGTATATTCACTAGTTATAGTTGATTGCTTTCATGAATGCTAGGCAATCTGTACATCAGTTCTTTTATGACTGATGATTGAGAAGTCCCTTTGAGTATTTCTATACACGGTAGTTAGGTGCTTGTGAAACTACTTAGCCAATCTTATTTTTACTCGCTCCACATTCTGGTGCATTTGGATACGAATGCATGGAGTCGGTAATTGTTTATGTGGAGAAGGAAGTTTGTTGTTATGTATTTAGTTGTTCCTACCATTCTCAATTTCGCAAGCAAATAATTCTGCGTCTTTGTCACTTTCTCTTTCTTTCTTGGTTGCAGACAAGTCTCGACAGAAGAAGGAGAAGCAAAAGCTCGTGAAGTCGGAGTAATGTTCATCGAAACTAGTGCAAAGGCTGGCTTCAACATCAAGGTAAGCACATTGTAAGGCATCAAGTGCTATTTTTGCACGTTTAGCACCTTTATTTCTCAACCGGAAGAGACACTTGAACATTGCAGCCTTTGTTCCGCAAGATTGCTGCATCCCTTCCGGGGATGGAGACACTCGCTTCTGCGAAACAGGAGGACATGGTTGATGTCAATTTGAAGCCCACTGTCAGTTCACCAGAGACTCAGCAGCAATCTGGAGGCTGCTCGTGCTGAAGATATAACCAGGTTTAAGTACTTGTTCATTAACTAGGGGCTAAGAATTCTTGTGTTCACCTATGAAGGTTTTACAATGACGTTATACAATGAGGGTTCTCTTGATTGTAGCATCTCTGTTGTTCCCCATCCCGCACTTGTTCGTTTGTTTGAGGTGGATATCTTTGTGCATACTCTTTTGATTTTGTTATTTTTATTATTATTTCAAGATAGATATTTGTTGTTTCTACAAATTAAATTAAAACTTTATTTATTTTTCTATATTATCTGAACATATTTTAATTATGTTCCTGTGTACTCCTACCATTAATTATGTTTCAAGTTAATATCATGTTATCTCTAAAGTTAGATTATTGAGTGTGATGCGAAATGGTTATGTCGAAATAAAGAAGTTGGTTGATCTAAACTAAAGTTCAAGGAATTAAATTAGAATTTACTATCAAGTAAATGTTAAAGAGCTAACGTGGAGCTCCTAAGGTAAAACTAAAGTGGAACTCTTGATCGATATGGACATCCCAAGGAAGTAACTCCTTGAGAAGGACATAATCCTTCGGATGCCTTGATAGATATGGACATCCCAAAGGAAGTAACTCCTTGAGAAGGACACCTCAAATGCGAGAAGCATCTCTCTTCAAGGAAGTCCTTATTTCATGAGGTAGTCACCTCAGGTACTAGAGGAGAGGCTTGCCCGAGGTAGTCTTCAAGCTCTTGGGAGCCCTCTCAAGGTGGTCACCTCGAGTTTTATGTAGTGAAAGTTAACCCTACATAATTAAGATTTGAAATATGAGATCATATATGAAAGTTAAAAATCATCGTTGTGTTATATGTGACCATCATTTATATGTTGTAACTTTTTATTTTACTTGATCCTTTGATACCTATGCAAGGTTACACTTGGATTAACTCTTTATGGACAGCTATCGCGAAGGAGTTTTATTTAAGTAATTCAACTAAGTCAAGCAAGCGAGATAAGGATAATAAAATATTTTAATTTCATAATATGAAATCAAAAATCATAAGTTAACAACGATCTACTCACAAACACAAGACCAAACAAAATTCAGAATAGAAATTAGAGATTACTGTAAAGGAGGTCAAGAATCATAAGAAATCGTAAATGATCATGTTGTACTAGCAATAGGAGACAGAAATCAGGTGCAAAAGAAACACATTTAATTAAGAATCATATGAAATCCTTAGTTAAAATCATGAGATCACAAATCACAGTCAAAGTTAAAGATATAATCGCAACATAAGATCAGAGATTACAAGCTGAAATTAAAGATCACTGTCGAGGAAGACAAGAATTACAAAAGGATCATCCATGATCAATAACTACTCACATGACGATATCCAAATCATGTGCGAAAATGAAAGATCGTCTCAGATGAAATGAAGAATCACAAGAAATCACAAAACACATTGGGAATTTAAAAGATCACTATAGAGGAGAAGAAGAAGAAGAAGAAGAAGAAGAAGAAGAAGAAGAAGATTCACGAGGAAAATCTACTTGACACACGAGAACAGAAATCACAAGCAAATGTGAAAGACATGCAGATCACGAATCACAATATGCTACACAGATTGGAGGTGCTCACCGACCTATTCATGTATTTTATTTCATTGGATCTCATCCATCTACGTGGCGACGAAGTCGCCTAGTGGGAACCACTTGCAGCAAGCAGTGGGAACGCGGGAACGGCGACGCGTGCCGCGCGTCCGGCTTACAGGCAGGGAGGGACTTTCCTTGTCCGTGCCGTATTGACAGCATGACAAATGGCGCGAGGACGAGCGTTTACGAGAGGTGGGAAGGAGTTGGGATCCTCTCCAACTCACAATTTTCGCGATTCACCCTCAGCCATGAGATCGCCAGCCATTATGGCTATGGCTGATCGAGATGTGAGGATGGGTAGAGGGTAAAACGGGAGGAAATATGTATGTAGAATTGAATCCACATGAATTGGAAGGGATCAGCAAAAGCCTTTTCTCTTACCTGAGCTCAGCTCAGCTCGTGAGAATCTCCTGTGGGGGTGCGGGCCAACCCTGCAAACTGATGTTTAGAGTCGGTTCATCGGTCCATCAAACATAATGATCGATTGCACGTATAGAAAACGCGTATTCTGGATTGGTTTGATGTGTTTTGCTTGGGATATTGTTATGCCAAGGCAACTTGTTTTCTTTTTGAGAGATTGGATGCACCTACAGATGCGCTTTCGTGATCTGAAATGGAAGAGACGAACACATCAGTAAATCACCTAAGCACTTGAAGAAATCAATGAGACTTCAGATGTCACATATACTCACAAGAGCGAAACAGCATCTGAGAAATCGATCCGACAAGACACGAACAATCCAACTGCATAAAATTCCAAGACCAATTCACATCAACAGGCCAGGGAATAGATAAATGTAAACAACATTATAAGAGTCATGCAACCAAGTACCACAAGTTGGATGGAATATTATTATGAGAGCAATTTAGTCCTGCACTGTGAAATGAAAATAACAACATACATCGTTCATAGGTTTTGTTAGATGTTTCCTTTACACTATATAATAACCAAGCTGTAAGGGTGATTTAGCCTGTGAGACGATGACAGCAAAATATTAGAGAGGATATATTGTCGAGAGCATCATCCAAAGGCAAAACTGTTACTTTTACAACTCTTACAACTTGATAAATAAGAAACTACACACTTACAATTGAAACTCCATGACAGGTGGGTTCTATTGATGGACAACAACAAAGATCCGCCAACTTCAGAATTTACATCACTTCTTCAATAGAGCCCGTGAAAAGATTCGCTTGCAGTAAGGGTTGGTTCTCAGGGCTGCTTCATGAGGAAGCATAGCTTTTACTAGTGCAGCACGGACAGGGCCCTGCATCGGTATATATATGAGACGATGAGAGAAGGGATAAACCAATTATTGCTAAATTGATTAGACATAGGAACCTTGGAATTTAGAAGAGCAGATTTGATAACATAGTTTGCGTAAGGGTCTTGCAATAATTGCTCAAAGTGTGAGACTGAAATCAATTCCAATATTATAGTAGCTCGATCATCTTCACCCAAAATCTTCAAGCATTTTTCCACCACGTTACTGCTAAATTTCTGTACGGAGAGCTGTACATACTTCCCTTCAAACTGAGATGCCAAGTTTCCAACTGCCAAGGAGTTCTTCAGATCTAGTATATACTGGACAACATAATTTCTGGAACAAAAAAATAATACTAAAGGATCATTTAAGAATTTTAAACAAAGAAAAAACAAAATGGGTTCAACAAGTCAATTGCAATTCTGGATTGCTGTTACTTGAAGTGAGTATTGAGGCAGAATATTCCATAGATTCATTTAGATCTCTAAAGATACTTGAGATCCTCAAAAACAGCTAATTTGTTTGTCTAAGTTTGGATAAACAGAGACTGCATATTCATAGTTTTCTCAAAGTCCAATTGACTAACATGTGGTTCATTTGACTGATCAACATAAGGATAAGTAATCTAAAAGCTACATGTAAAACTCAAGATAAACATTTATAGTCTGCATGCTCAACTATTTTCGAAAAATATCATTCATGTCCATAGGCATATTAGTTCATGAACAGTAAATACAAGAATAACTTGGGAATTCACATGTTGTTAACAGCAAAATAATGAAACCGAAAGTGGTGATGGCAGATACTGCCACTATATGGGCATTATATAGTGGTTGTTGTGACTCACTCTTCATAGAATATGCTTGCAAAACCTAAATAATTATGACTAAAGAAACAACATAATTCAGACTAGAAGATATCAGGTACATCAGGTTTCAATCTAGATTGGTGGTTCAATATGATTGATGCTTAAATATACCTACTAGAATTGATAAAGCAGTCATATATCTAGTAAATGCCAGGTAGTCAAGACAAATTCAATTATCAAATAGATGCACCAAATGGGTGCTGAAAAAATTGACTCTCTCCAATCCTTTGAGCCTATGAAGATATAAATGATAATAGAAATGAAATGTGCATATATTATTATTTTTCAAAAAAAGTAAGATGTTACTATAACTTCACATAAGTCTTACATGTTTCAACAGAAAAATAGATGCTGCAATTTAGCAATCAAATAATTACCCAAACGGATCTTGAGCAAGTTCATAACCATTAGCAGAAATTTCTGCAATCAACTTTGCTTGATTTTCTCCAGTAGAATGGGCTATGCATTTTTGCAACACACAACATCCATGTCGATGAGTAGCAATATCAACACAATGCTTTGCCGCAGCATCAAAAATTAACTGTCGGTATAGCATGCCATGCAAAGTTAGTGAATTGGAAAGATAATTGTACAAACTGTAGGAGCAAGCGAAAACAAATTTGTAATTTTGTTTCTTCTGATAATAGCATAACACTATGATGACAACACAGTATAACAAATGCAGAGAAATACTAAAGGAGTGAAAGCGAGAAGCAAAGTGGAGATGTATCAATGCCAACAATTTTAATTCAAATTTGACCAATTAATGTAGTTGCATGGCCCTTTGCTGATATACTTTCTAAACCCAAAATCTTATTGAACAGAATTTTAATTGAAATCAAATATTTGATTCACAAGCTCAAATTCCAACTCACTTCTCTAAATTAAACTGTTTAGGAAGTAAGACTTCCCACAACTAGCATCCCAAGATAGGATTCTGTAAATATTTCAAGCAAACATTAAAAAGAAAAACGAAAGTTCCCTGCAAATACAACCATATACTCTGAGATAACATCAAAACAGAAAACTTATTTGTAAATTCAGTTCTGGCTGCACTATGACCATAAGCTAATCCATCCTACACCAGCTAACAAATAAGCAACATTTGCCCTATAATAACTAATTGAAACATAATTATAAGATTTTCCTAGCATCTCCAATGATTCATGTATATTAGAAAAACTGCCGTTAATAGTTAGTATTTGCTTGCACATTGAGAAGTCATATAATGTTTATATTTCTGCTCAGTAATTCAGATGCAGAAGCTGTACAAATTTAATCAAGGAGGTTGTGAGCAGACACCTAGAAAGGCACACCCTTGTCCTAAGTCATGGATAAATAGAATACCGTCAAAGAACCATTTCTCAGAATCAGTAGCGCCTGCTACTTCAAAGAGTGCATTGGAATCATCTGGGAGGTTTCATGGAACTATCAGATCTGAATCTGAACTGTACTTATATACAAGTGACAACTATTTCCTTCATGATACCTGCTCTCAACTGCAAACTAAAACACTATCACTGCTTCTTGTTCTACTTCTCATCAGCCATTTTAGACGTTCTTTCACCGGATCTGTGAAATTAGGCAAGCATTTTTGTTTGTGCATGGATAACAAGTCATAGGTATTCCAGCATTAGTTTAGGCCGTACCTTACCTTCCCTGTTCCTTACCTATTGCATGTCATGATGTTTCGGTAAGTGCCAGTAATTTAAGTACAATGACAATAACTTTAAAGAAAGGAAACCACAAACAACATATAGGCTACAATTTCATACAAAGGAAAATTTAAGGCACCGGTATCTAACCATATTCATTTGGCACAAAATCATTTGACTCCCTAAGCATTGTACAAAGATAATAGCCGCATCAGAAAACACAGAATGAAGCATTCGGCGACCGTACATGGTATAAACTAATTACACTGTTAGCTTCAGATGTTATGCTTAAGGGGTTTTCATGTTAAATTTATCAGCAAGAATTGTTTGAACAGAATGGTGAATGAAGATGGGACATTAATTAACAAAAACATAAATTCTTGAAGAATTCAGAAGAAATACAAAATAGGCTTAGCAATGAACTAAACACGCTGACAGGCAATCTCAACCTCAAAACTAAGCTAGCATAACAGCATGAAATTAGAAAAGTTGAAGGTGATTCACCATAACATATTTTCCTCTGCTAAGAAACCAATACCTTATTGTCTTCAGGTGTAAAAGATTCCAAGCAGCGTTGGAGCACATGGCTGCCATTCAAGTCCTTGATGAGATCTAAAAACCCAGGTTGTATGGCTGATATAACCAGTGCAATTTGCTTCTTAGTTTTGAGGGTATCTATTAACTTCTGCACAGCCCTCGTCCTGAGAATAAATCTAAGTCATGTTATTGGAAGTATGACCCCAAATGTCTAAGCATTAGAAAACTTATTTAACTGAACCTGCAAGGGCTAAAATAAGCTTCAGCAGAATAAGTTGATATTCGTAGGCAATGAGCAAACTTCTACTCACCCATGAACGTTCAGGGAGATTCTGATGAGGTTATCTGGATCCTTCAACACTAGGAGGATCTGCATCAGTTGTTCTTCACTGCATAATTCAAGTAGCTTCTGCATGAGATAGTTCCCAAAAGGATCGATCATGAGCTCACTGGCATGATTGATGACCCCATTAAAAATCACATCTACCACATGCTTCCCTTCATCAAGCTTCTGCTGCAAAAACCGACACCCATGCTGGTGCTTTGCAACAAAGTACATACATCCTTTGACATCCATCACATTGTCATACTTTGGCAGAAAATTCGGTAGCTTCACCGAGACTCCTCGTGCATACAGGCGTCCATCAAACTGCGATAGTTTAGTCCCCTTCAGGGGATAATTCAATGGGCACCTCATGCAATGGAGCTCCTTACCCTCTATAATTAAACTGTCATCGGATCCAAACACCTCAGGGTTTCTCAGGATTCTTCCTGGCTGAACCTCAAGATTAGCAGAGGGTGTTTCGATGCATCCATTTGACACTGAAAAGTCAGGTAACCTCGAGGCATTTAAAGTGTTCCTATTCCAACTGGAATCTATTCTAATCTTCTCCGACTGCAAGAACATATTAGAAACTGGATAAGGTTGATTAATACGGGAAACAAAACCCCCGCCAAGATTAGCCCTACAGTGAGGAGTTCGTCCAAGGACACCATCAGTTCCCAATTCAGTTGCTCCATAAGGGAAATTGTCGAGCCATGGCTCGAAAAAATTAGCATCCGCATAGCAATGCTGCTGCTGCGATTGAGACGAGCATGGATTCTTATCCAGACCAAATAACAGAGAGTTGGGAATAACTGAGTGACAATTAACGCCAATCTGAAATGTATCGTCGGTATAATTAGTCTCAGGCACAGAAGGGTTGATCGGGTTGTTCTCGGATGCTGATGCCGGCATCAGCGGACGACCAATTGGTAATTTCGGATCAACTCCGAGATGCATACCGCTAAGTTTGTCGAGCAAGCCTAATCGTTCGACCATCCGCCCCGTATGCTGGCGGGCCAGTTCATCGGCGGCAGGGGAGAGAAAGCCCAACACCAACGATCCTTCCGAGGGGAGGGGCGGCGGCGAGAGGCGTGCATGGCGGTCACCATGGTCAGGCCCCCTCCCATGCCCACAGCCATGGACAGGATAAAACCCACGAACTGGCGATAGCTCATCGAGACCAGGCACATGCACGCCAAGAGCATCATCACCATGGAAGCGGCGATGATGACCGAGATGGGGATGAGGGAGATGGGGAGACGTGGCATGAGGGATTTCATCCAACAACATCTCCATCTCCCTCTCTTCCTGCTTCCCCATCTTCATGGATTCCTCTCTCGCCTCTTCCGTCTCCAGCGTCACCTCCTCCTCCGACTCAAAAGCAAAGAAATCTTCCACAAAATTCACCCAAAAAAGAAGAAAAAAATCAAGAAAAGGATCGCAGAAGGTAAAAGGTCGGATTCAATGGATGCGAGGGGGATCGGGAGAGGGAAGTTGGGATGGGATTGGGGATTGCATTAGGAATTCGAGGAGTTGGTTGGAGCACACAAGAGTAGGAGGAGAAGCAGTGAGAGAGATTGAAGGGGGGGGGTTTATATCGGCTTTATATATAGATATAGGAAGATTAGGAAAGAAGGCATTTGCATTGAGAGGATGGTGGTGGTGGGCTTCTACACGAGTACACTACACCATTCGTTCCTTGTATAAGCTTCATACCATTTCCTGGGGAGAACTTATTCATTTAAATCTAAATTTAGCATTTAAAATCCCTGTAAAGAGATAAATAAATATATATTAAATGTTACAAATACCCCTACAAACTCTTATGAAAATTTAAGATATTTAGTGATTTATAGGGTGAAATATGCTATTTCCGAGCATTTGGAGGGACGGATAGGTAAAAGGAGAGCACCGGATTTAAAGTGAAGGAGAGGCGGTGAGGTTACCCCAGCTTTCTACGCCTTCTCGTTGGCGATACACGGGGGCGGTTATTCTTAGACGCGTTCTTTCCGGTGAAGTCGAGATATTTTGTGCACAATATCTGTGACTCGACTGCTGAAATATCTCTCTCTCTCTCTCTCAGCCGATCCTTTAATTCTTGATTTATTTGCTAAGCTTGGATTAGGATTTAATGGTTTTTAGTTATAACGTCTTCATGGAGGCATAATGTCTTTTGTCGTAATACATGTTGACTTGAGTTGTGAAAGACTCACTTCTCTATGGATCGAATCGCTAAAACTATCGCAGCTTGCAAAACAAAAAAACAAAAAATATTTATTTATCTAGATATAAAAAAAAATGCAATTGTTAAAAATAGGATCAATTGATGTTCTCTTGAAAAAACAGTGATATGGATTCCAACCAATCATGTTTCTTTCGATTTACATCGTGCAATTATAACCCAAATACACCCTGACGATAGTCAATACACAGAGTCATATAAATCACAAATAACCCAAGTAAAAATGATGACACGTTTATTTAAGATCAAGAGCTAAAGTTGCTTTGGTGATGCTATAATCATATGGCCAAAACCCTAATCCCAGTGTCACCTAATGACTTGGTCTCATCATTGCTTGCTCTTTGGCGCATGGTATCGCCATGTTAGGAATTGAAGCTTGGCCCACTCTATGAGATATTTCACAGCTTAAAAACACATTGAGTTTGTCCATTGCAGCACACTTGCAAGTATTATTTGGAATGCTTTGGGCTGGTACCCAAGCATCACAGAGCACAGCTCTTATCATGCCTTTGGAAACTGGTAGGACCATCAGGTGGCACTTGAAACACTCTTAATAGCAATGCCTGAGGAGCTCAAATCAGAAGTGAACTGTAGAATAGAATATATGAACTGGTTCGATCCGATGACTTTTGTCCCTTGGATATATGTTGCTTCTTCTTTTGCTACAGAAACACCATCACCTGTCAAAAGGAAAAAGAAGGTCTCAGATAATAATTGATGGCAAATTAAGTACACAAAATGGTTGAAACAGATCATGAGATCAACAGAGTAGTGTGCGCATATACTGATGACCCAAGTTATCATTGTTTTTGTTCTTGAATTAATGAACTAAATGACTATAAATGAATCAACTAACAGCAGAAGAAATAAAAAGACTCGAAGAAATCAACTAAATGAATTGATTCACTAAGGATCGTGAGTAATTCATGAAAAAAGAGAAGGTGGTCCTGGGATGTGGACTGGTCCCTGAATTCATCCTAGAAATAAATTAAGTTATTCTGATGGCACCACTTTGGAATGGCAGTTGAAATGTCAATATAGAATCCAACATTGGTCCAGCATAATGAGAGGCCCTTTGTCTGACAGTCATCATCCTGACTTTTATCAATGTTGGTTGTCACTACAAAGATCTGAAGACGTTCTTGTTTTTGGGAATAGAATCAGAAAGCACAAAGGATAACCCTTCCAGCTTCATAGTTTTCTTATAACAAGAATAAGACACTGGAGGCTATTCTAATGATTACCGAGTCAGATCAATTATCCAAACTGAAGATCTCCAGTAAGCTGAGTTGTGAGACTCCGGTGGAGCAGAGTTGTATCATCGACTAATTTTGCCTACATTTTCCCGTTTCATGTTCACTTTTGGTGATGCTCATTTCTATTTCTACATCCCGTCACCATGATGACTGTACGACAGAGGCATCCTTGAAAATCAACGTCATTGTAGCAGAATCAACTTAGTGATTACATAAAATAGAAATTATTGCAATCAGTTGTTAGATGTCCCAGGAAGAGGAACAGTTCAAAGGTCAATGGCAAAACCGAAGCCACTTAGCATATTATGTATGAATGATGTCAAACATAACATCAATGGCAAAAGGGGCTCCTTAAATAGTCTGAATAAGCAACTTCCACAAAACAATCATGAGACCGTTAGACGTCCAAAACAAGCATGTCAGAGAAGTCAAACTAGCACAATGTTGCTCTTACCATCAAAAGGTGTGTGTCACCACCTAGATAGTCTTATGAAGGAGCCTTTTCCATTGGTGAAGATACCGCTATGGCTCGCCACTCATCTCTGTTAGCCTTACCATACCGAGTTTACTTGCTGCTGAACCTGGTGCAGCGTCATGTCTGAAGATGCTACTGCCTGTCAGTTCTGCCAGTTTCTGAAATATGAAATTTCTTAGTTGTTTTTACCATTGGTTTTTCACCAAACAAGATATTACTGAGACCCACCACAGATTATCAAATTAAGCAACCAAAGTGTGAGATATATCATCATGCTAAGAGCCATCCTAAATGCATGCAGTGAATTAAATTTGATATAGAAAAATAGAGTTCAATATGTAGATAGAAGGTCCAACAACCATGATTGTATGTGTGTGTGTGTATATATATACATATAAATATATATATATATATATATATATATTGGGGAATTAATAAGCCAGGACAATTCATAATCATTTAAACAACAGTTGCCATGAAATGGAACTGATGTAGAAACAAGAAATCAGTAAGCATATAGGCCTACAATCCAAGAGTTGAAAACAGTAAAATTTATATGTGAAAGACAATGAAGAACAAGTGAATGATCATCAATGCTGCCTGGTTCTTTTGCTCATACCTAACCATTTTGAATGCATTATATTGACGTTCAGAACATGTACTCCATGCAAGCCTCATGAGTCAACAAACAGAGAATCATTGAAGTAATGTATATTTTCTGAAAATTGCTAAAAGATAAATCAAGAGATGCCCAAATTTATTGAATTTTTACCCAAGCAGATATTAAAGTCAGCCTCTGGGTGACACCAAGGTGACTTACGGGTGTTTGTAGATTTCACGAACAGGTTTCATCATTTATCTCCAAAGTCCTTGCTTTCTCCTACTTTTTGATGGCCTCAACAGAACTTCAGGAGGAGAAAAAATGTCACACCCACTTAGTTCCTTGCATTTTGCATTGCATAATTGCTTGTTCAATCTATTCTAGGACTCACTTTGCAGAGACCCGATTGGCTCTCGCGGCATTGCTACCTCAGCAAGTGAGGCTGGATTTTCAAAAGAAACAGTTTCATCAGCACCGAACGAGATATGGCAAATTACATTTATTGTCTTCTGTCTCAAGGATCAAAAGTATAATAGTCTGACAATAAACTTTACACCCTTTTACCATTCAATTAGTAGCCTGACTGTACTAAGCAAAGAAAACACACTAGAAACAAAAGCAATTTTGTTCCAATCTATTCTTAAATTAAGTTCAATAGCTAGAGAATTCACTAGAATATATATATATATACAAGTAGACTGTAGCAGATGTCAATCATCAACAATTTTTTGCTGTTACAGTAAATGTACATCAAACATTGTCATGCTAGAATACAACCACAACAACAAGACATAACGTCCCAATTAACTTTGTCATGAAAGTACAACCAAACTAGAATTAAGTTTGAGGTCAAACATAAGGGTTCAGAAATTTGCCTCGGTTATCAAAATTACAACTTTACTTTTTTTTCTTTTTTTGTGAAATGATGTGCGAATCATCAGTTCATGATTCGGTTTTCAGCTTTCCTCCAACTCTTAAGCGGAATTAGATGTGCAGTTGGATAAGAGATCACGAAGAAAGCCCAAATGTCTAACGCAAGATATCGTTAAAGATAATCACAAAATTGAGAGAAGGAAGAGGAAAGAAGGGCTAACAGGAGAGGTCAAGGCATCATATGGCGCCACTGCGGCCTCGTTGGGTGCCGTCGGCGAACCAGACGAAGAAGCGATCCCCCTCTCGTCGTACGCGCTCTGTCCTCGACGAATCGGGTTCATGGAGGCTCGGACCGAAACCCTAAGAGATCACCCCCCACTCTCCGGCGGAGGCTCCACGGCCGATTCAGATATGCAACGGTCCTCCGCGGAGAGGGATGTATCATCGCCGTTGGATCCGGATCCATGGGCGGAGATTAGCTTTGTAAATCCCACGTTGGACTATCCGGGGGATCCGGTCCAAGGGATCCGCTACGGGAAACGCGTCGATCAAGCATGTGCACGATTCTCAAAGCAGACAACCCGTTCCCAATAACGCTGTCGAAGCTTCGCGTTCCACAGCTGCCTGGCTGCTTCGGTCAACATATCCGATGAAGGATTTTTATCCTTGGAATTTTGTTTCTAGCAGTATTCTTTTTCTTCCTTCTTATTTGAGAAGGGAATATAATTTCTCTCACCTACTACTTAAGCCATGATGGTGCAAACATGGGTGAGAGGACATCATATCTGGAGATGCTCTGGGAGCAGGTCATCATGAGGAGGAGGGACAACCAGGGCCCTTGTGAAACCCCTCTAGGGTTTATTAGCTTTCCCCTTGTCTTTAGCTGGTGTTTTCGTTCCTAAGTAGAAGACAGTAGCACTAAGTCTTTTTCGTATGTCCAGGATAGGTGTCATCATTCATCCAAAGATATACGTACCTCATCTTCGCATCTTCGTGGCATTGGTTTGCATTATCCAACCCAGTGATTTGGAGAACAAATCCTTCCTCGTTAGTTGTTCGATCGACACCCCAAAATGATAAACAGCAAGCTCGGTGTTTTGCCAACAGCACGAGCAAAGGGAGTTTCTGAATTCTCTGTTCCATCGATTGATTGATGCCCTGCAAGTGAGAGCATGTGAATGGCTCCATGAGTGCTGGTTATACTACTGCAAAGCCTACTGAGATGGGAAAGCAGCAGCATCTCCCTCAGATGCTGAAGATTGCATGTCCTTTCTCCTCAGAGGGAGGGAAGAAAAGGGTAGGCTGCAAAAACCCAACCCCATCCCTCTCGTTTAATCCCCCCACAAGTACTCTGCTTTCATCTGCACCTCAAATGGAAGGGAGGGGAGGACGCCATCATTGCTGGAGAACGCATTATTCTTGTGGCATGGGCCACCATGATTCCAAAAGCTTGAGTCACATGTCTCCCCTCTCAAAAGCCCCTCTTCCCTTTCCTCATCAAAATCCATGGCCAGGCTTTTCAACAATCAACAGGTTGTTTATGAGCAACCAGAGATGTTTCACACTTTTTCCTCCCTGCCCAATGCATATGTGGTAGCATCATTGAAATCCATGACCTCTCAACCACTGCATCAAACCCGATGCGACTCTACCGATGCCAGCATCAAATTTCACGAAACGAACTGCATTGATTCTATGGTGGATTTCATATTGGTGTACTCCCTATGCCAGGATTGCCACCGTAAGAGGAAGGGGGAGGGACTAAACGTAGTGACTGCATGGTGTTGCACAACTTCTCCTCTATATATCTGTACATATAACGTGAGCTGAATGCAGAAAACATAAAATAGTTGATAGTCTCGAGATTAATACCGTTTGTCGCATTTATTTTTCATGTGATCTTGTAAATGACAGTATCTTATAGAGTTATCGACTTGGATCCGATCTAATAGTAGTCGGATTCTGAAAATCCAACAACTATTACTCGTATAATCTCAGCTTGCATATGTATGGTAAATTGTTGTTTGCTCGGATATCATATAGGAAGGAGACAGGAAGAGACTAAACTGAAGCATAACAAGTGTGTATATATGTATAAATCTGAAGAATCTCGAACTTGAAGAGAGAAGAAATCATCACTGCCAATATGAAAAATCAACCCTCAGGAAATTGCTTATTTATTTGACTTCAAGATCAGCTTCTGGAGTCGATGGAAAGAGGGCCAGGAAACCCAGAAGAACTTGAGGATAAGCTTAGCTTGATAAAGACTCGAGGAAACCAAACAAGGCTGTCAAAACCAGTCCTTTTAGATGCACAGTGATCAAAGCAAGGATGCAAGCGAATCCATGTACACATGAACAAGAGAGAGTCGTCATATCTATGGTTACCGCTGGTGACGACGGTCAACCGATGAGCAGCAGCAAAGATCAACTTCCTCCTCCGCCCACACGCACACCACTTGCTGCCCCGACTTCCAATCCGAAGAAAGGATTCGTGGATCCACCACTGTATTCTCTGCTCGACGTTACATGGCTTCGGCTAGTCCTGATTTCTGTAGTTCCTGATGACTGCCTTTAGTCCGGCTTGTTCTGCATTCTCTTGTGCTGACTCACCGACCCAGCCGGATAGGGCATCGACTCTGTCGGTTGACTTCGTGCCTTCCGTCGCGATGAGGCACCCGAGGCCACCCATGGTGTAGTCTGGAGTCCCGTGCGGCGCAGCTCCGAAGGCGGGCAAGGCGTGTGAATTGATCTTGGGAGCAGCTTGGGATTGGAGGAGGGGTTGGGAGACGAGATTTGCGCTTTGCATGTCGAGCACAGGTTTTGAAGGTCGAGCATCAACGATCGATAATTGGCACTTCCCGGCGGAACTTGAAGTCGAGCTACTCGAAGAACTTGTTGCGGTGGTGGTTATAGGTAGGTTTATATTGGAAAGAGTACCTCTAGCGAAAGAAGCAATAGCTTCGAGTGCGGAGGAGGAGGAAGCCATGGGAGGGAAGGCCGCTGTCTGCGTCTTCTGGGGAAAGGGCCTGAGCAGGTAAGGCGGGACGGCGGCAGCGGCCATGCTGAAAAGGTCGAGGCGGGGGCGGGGGAATGGAGAGGAAGTGAAGGGCGGCGTCGGAAAGCCGGTGAACTGTTGCACCATGTCGCGGAAATTGGAAGTGTCGGTGGCGAGGACGGTGGTCGGAGCTCGCCTCGACGCCCTCGACCGCTTCTTGGAGCCTCTCGAGGCGACAGCGGGGCGATCAGCTTGCACCTGCGGTTGCACCGACGAGGGTCTCGTCGACGCTGATGCTGAGGGCCGAGCGACCATCATGGGGCCGGGGGTTGTGGAAGTGGGGTACGATAATAGAGAAGATGATGGGATTCCCTTGGGCCATGTGGAGTCGAGGTTGAGGGAGTTGGACTCCGGGGTCGGGAAGGGGAAGGAGGCGAGGTAAGCGGACAAAGGATCAAAGAGGGAGGAGGAAGAGGAAGAAGGGTGGTGGCGTTGGAGAGCAGTAGCAGCTGTTGTTGGCGCTGGCGGTGGCAGGTTTAAGAAGGAGGAGATGGACTCACCGCGAGATTCGTACTCTTCGTTGTCGCCGCTGCTCGAGGACTGGATGCTCCCGCTGTGACTTGAATCCATGGCAGATAAGGAAGAAGAGAGAGAGAGAGAGAGAGAGAGAGAGAGAAGGGTAGAGTGGAATAGAATGGTTAGGGTGCTAAAGAAGAGGTTCAAGAGTATCTAGGAGTGGGAGAGACCTCTTCTCTCCATCACTTTTTCTCTTGTTCTTTGTTCCACTTTTATCTTTCCATGGATCTCTCTGATGGTCGGTAGGGAAAAGCTTAATGATTTTGTCTTGGGTGTGCAAGAGAGGGCTGGAAAGAGTGGCAAGGGAAGAAAAGTAGAGGAAGAGACCATACGTCTAAAAGAGAGAGGGCAACTTGAGCTCACAGTTCCACTAAAAAGATCCTCATTAGATTTCAGAGGTGGTGGACCAACCAGGTTTTCGGATTCTAGCCAGTCTCAGAGAGAGAGAGAGAGAGAGAGAGAGAGAGAAGCAAATGGAGAGTTGAAGAGGTCAAAGCCATGGATAGAGAGAGAAGAAAGCTTCGAGCCAAAGAAGAGGAAGAGGGTTACGTGTTACCCGAATAACCTCAAAAAGAAAGTAGATAACTCTAATTAAAATGACTTATCTCTGCTGGTCTAATCACCTTTGAATATAACACATTGACAATATCTCCTAAGAACTTCCACCTCTCATTTGAGTTATCTTTTCTATATAAAATATTTCTTTTATAATCAGATATTGTCTATAATTATAGAAGCAATCAGAGGGCCATATACATAATAATAATAATAGTAAAAATCATGTATTATTATTTCATAATAATGCATGAAATATATTTTTTTAACATTGTTGAACTCTGCATGAAGCAATATATAGATTAACTTAATTGGAAAACTTGCTAATTAATCACTTAGATTAATGTCATTTCTTGTGGAGAAGGGAAAAAAGAGAAAGTGGCCAGATAGATTATCCATCATAAGAGTTGGGACCTTCAGCAGTTTATGCTTATATCATTAAGAACACAGATATGGACTTAATTAAGCTCTTAAATCTTTTGTTTTCAGCTGTGCTTGTTGTGCTATGAAAGCAAACATTATTATACATTTGGTAGATCAGTAAGGTGGGTTCGTTTGGTGGAAGCATCGGCAGCATTTAGCTGCAACCTCCAGCTTGACCTGCCCATACATCCGTCATCGACCTCCCAACCAGTCTTTTGAGCTCCTCATCTCTCTTCAAACCTTCTCACTGTGCTCGGCTTGAATCATGCACAAAGCTTGGGAACTTCACATTAGTTGAACCATGCACCAGTTTGGTGCAACCATCAAGCAACATACCATTTAATTAATAGTCATATATATATATATATATATAGAGAGAGAGAGAGAGAGAGAGAGAGAGACAGAGAGAGGAAAAAATATGCCCTTGTTGTTGATCTCGATTGGCTGAATGTTTAAGATATTGTTGTTTTTAATTGAATTAATCGATCCAATTCTAACAAGGAATGTAAGTGCATGAGTCATGTTATGGGGGGTTTGGCCCAACAAGTTGGACGATGGTTGCCCTGGGCCATGTCAAATCTCTTATGACTATGCCTTTCGTAAAGCGTGCTGACATCCAGTCCGCAATCATCTCCGTCCATATTCTGATTCATGGATGCAGTAACAGGTACGAGTGCATGAGCTACTGCATTTGCGAAGACGAAGCAATGATTGGCTCATGGAATATGAACGGTTTGGGAGAGGTATCTCCTCACGAGGTTCTTCCAAACATGCGCGAATCTTGTCCAGGATCAAAAGAGTGTTCCCATGGTGGCGTTGCCGAACGACCATGCTCGGCTAAAACGACCTTCGTTTTTGACCTCCATCTTCCTTCCATGAAAGTAAGGGATGAGGATGAAACATTTCGGATGGCGATGCCTCAGCTGCATGTGTGCTTTGCCTGCTTTCTCATGGCAAGGGGTGGGGGGGGGGGGAGGGGAGGTTGCTGCTCCAGCCCACATGCAGCCTCCTCCTTCCGGCAACCTAACCCTAAAGCTTGGTATCACGATTCCTGGCTCCACTCTCCGAATTCATCATCCTGCCTTTAGGCAGTCACATCCGCGTCCATGGAGGACCACCGCGCTTGCATGTGTTCCGACGTGCCTGCTATGGACGACTGTCTCCTACAATGATCCATCATTCCCTTCCTTTTAGATTTTGGTTTTCAGTACCACACACGTCTCGAGGACGTTGAGATTTCATGATCGATTCATTTGTTTGGTGAGTTGTTGATGCGGGAGATCGCCTCCAATTATTTGGACACCCGATGGGATGTAGTGGCCACCAGCTTTCCACGCATGAAATGGTCGGCAAAGAGTCTCAGAGGGCATGTCAGTATCCCACTTAAGTCCCCCGATGTTGCTCGATGGGAAGGCCTTAAGTGCCTTCCAACTCCTTCCTCAACCAAAGAGGAGCACTTTCCACATGGTTTGGTGTTGGCTGTGCACTGCGCTGCTGCCCTTTCATGGCCTAACTAAAAGTAGCCCAATTCCCCTGCATCGAGATCGAAGGTGGTGCCACCGGTGGGGTTGTCTCTGAGTTCTGGACTTCCTTTTTTTCCCTCGAAAGTTAGCAGAAGTTGCAGACCTTCTTTTTAAGGTTGGCGCCCATCGGATTAGTCCATGATGCCCTTTCACAAGCATAGCTCCTCCATTACCGGTACCAAGTATCAGTGTAAACACAGTGGTTGGTCCAGATTAATGCTATTACCTGCCCCCCATTTTGGCAGCAACAAAAATCCCAAGGTGATGGTCATACAAGATGTTTGTGGGTTGATGAAGCTCAGATGTGAAGAAGCATGGAGTGCAGCACTCTTCTCTTAGCTTGGGACTTGGATTCCAAAGCAAAGAGATGAAGAAGCTGATGTGGTGAAGAGGACTGAGAGCAGAATGCATGAAGGCTGTTGCATTGTGGGATACATTCATGGTGCAACCTACATCTTTTACCTTGAATCATGTTCACCTATAAGGTCATCTTTATGTGGGTGACAGTGATTTATATAGCACTAGTCATTAGAATTAACAGGAAAAAGTTCCTCATGAGAACTAGTCTATCATGTACAGCGGAACTCGAAATGATTCCCTCGGAAAGCTTTGACTAGTTATAGCATTCATTAGTTGGCGTCCGAGAGTCTGGGAAGAACGATTCCTTGTTGTCACACAACAATTTACGTTGCAATCTTCTTGTACATTAACAATAGTCACAATCCATGGCAAGAAGACCAGTTCTAAATGGTCTCTCTCTCTCTCTCTATCTCTATCTCTCTCTCTCTCTATATATATATATATA